ATACACAACCCAAGAAAATAGATCTCCTAACGGAAGCTGAATCCTTGGTACTCAAATAATTTGATGTGAATTTATATATTGTACTAAGTATCAAATTCTGTCAAACTGTGCGCCGAATTGATTTTTTGATCTTGAAATGCTATACAGAACTATGCAGTTTGGCAGAATTTGACACGCATATATAAATTCACACAGATTATTTAAGCACCAAGAATCCAACTTCGTCCGTTATGGGCTCTATTTCCTATAGGTTACAGATTCTTATTGTTTAATACGTAATATAAAAAAAACTCGAGTTTTGTAATGTTAAACTATATCCGACTATTATATTTTCTAAATTTTGCGTTATTTTTCGCAGAACAAACAAAATGTTTACACAAACATTCAGTTTATCGACGGTACGGGGAGAAGAATTCACATTCCAAAGCCCCAACGCGGAAGACATCCGTGATCTGGTGGTATACTTTTTGGAAGGACTGAAAAAACGCAGCAAGTTCGTTATAGCCCTGCAAGATTACAAGGCACCGGGAGAGAGCTCGTCATTCTTGAATTTTCAAAAAGGTGATCTCATCGTCCTCGAAGATGAAAGCACCGGCGAGACTGTGCTCAACTCAGGGTGGTATGTCGGAACCTGTGAAAGAACTGGCGAGAAGGGCGATTTCCCGGCTGAGACAGTTTACGTTTTACCTTCCTTAACGAAACCGCCAAATGATATATTGGTACGTCAACGTACCGTTTAGTTTTAAGTATTAGTGAGAAATATTGACATCTTCTTTTTAAACAATTCATCGATAATCGTAATTTTTAGGCCTTATTCAGTATGGAAGGTACAGAGAATAGTCGCAGACTCTACCCGCAGCAAATGAATGGTGTGGACTCTCGTGATAAACCTCATACTCTTCTAGAATACGCAATCGATCATTTCCGGTAAGTAAAAAGAAGACAACATATGTAGCACTTGATATTTTAAAGTAAAAAATGTGATAATATTTTGATTAAACTTGTCTTAGAACACCACCAAAGAGAACAATGTCCAAGACATTGACTTTAACGTCCGCGCGACGTGGGCACACGGACGAATTGTGGCATCACTCTAGAGAGCCAATAAAGCAACCTCTTTTGAAGAAACTCGTATCGAAGGAAGAACTAGCTGAAGAAGCATGTTTTGCCTTCAATGCCATTCTCAAGTATATGGGTGATCTGCCGACGAAACGACCGCGCATTGGAAATGAGTACACCGATCTGATCTTTGACGGGCCATTGAAAAATGAGATTTTACGAGATGAGATTTATTGTCAGATTATGAAGCAACTTACTGATAACCGCAACAGGTTGAGCGAAGAGCGAGGATGGGAGCTAATGTGGCTCGGTACTGGACTATTTACTTGTAGTCAGAGCCTCTTGAAGGTATAATGTATGATACAACTTTACATATCTCTCTCTCTCTCTCTCTCTCTCTCTCTCTCTCTCTGTTTGCGAATATTTTGTAGAATATTATCGATGATGTGCTTCTTCAAGGAAAATTCACAAGCATACATGTATAATATCATTTTATATTGCAGGAATTAACTCTGTTTCTACGTACAAGACGCCATCCCATATCTCAAGACTCTTTACAAAGGCTGCAGAAAACCTTGCGTAATGGTCAACGAAAGTATCCGCCACATCAAGTGGAAGTGGAAGCTATCCAGCACAAAACTACGCAGATATTTCACAAGGTCTATTTCCCAGACGACACGGACGAGGTGCATATCTTATTCCTAACTTCCTCTGTACAGGCTAGATTTCCTTTATTATATAGTTCTATACAGAAAATAACTTTTTTCCTTTTCGATTGTAATTTCGGATTATAGGCATTCGAAGTCGACTCGTCTACCAGAGCGAAAGATTTTTGCCAGAATATCGCGCAAAGACTCAATCTGCGATCTGCCGAAGGCTTTAGTCTGTTCGTCAAGATTGCTGATAAAGTTATTTCCGTCCCGGAAGGCGATTTTTTCTTCGATTTCGTACGACATTTGACTGATTGGATCAGGAAAGCTAGACCATCGCGAGACGGTACACCTCTTTGCAACTTTTAATGTCTTCATTTCCTTGTTGCGACTGTATCGAATTGTATATAACTAGTATCGACAAAAACAGCAAATCATATAAATCTTTCTTTTTACTAATATACCATATACTATACTGGTATACTGGTATACTATACTGGTATACTATATTGGAAAATACATCAAAAAGTTTATTTTTATTCGTGGATTAATAAATATGCACGTGTAGATTATGTAATCTATAACGTGCGTTTGTTAAAATTGAAGAATAAAAAAACTAAAGATTTCGATATTTTTATATCGTCGAACGTGTACAGTGGCATAAAAGAATTAATTTTTACAAGGAAAAAATCAGGTAATCGCGCTCTCTTGACCGAGAGATTACTCACTCACGAAATCAGTCACGAAAGCACCCATAATCGAGTTAAATCAGAATTCAGTTGAAGTAATTTCAACATCAAATCTTTAAGAAATCAAATTCAAATCACACAGTTAAACATGAAATCACTTGAAATCACTTGAAATCATACGAATTCATTCTAAATCATTTTAAATTTATAAAAAAATCTAAATTACACTTGACAATCCCCTCCCCGCCGCTCTTGACACGTCACAATTCAAACGTAGTAATAGATACAATTGCAACGAGGAAATAGGAGCTGAATTGTTAAAATTTCTATTCATATATGATACTCGTATGTTTGCATGCATATATGTTTACATTAAACATTTTTATATTAGTATTATGTATGTTATCCAGGAGTGTCACCACAGTTTACATATCAAGTTTTTTTCATGAAGAAGCTTTGGACAAATACAGTTCCTGGTAAAGATAGAAATGCCGATTTAATTTTCCATTTTCATCAAGAACTTCCCAAATTACTGAGAGGTAAGTAATGGTCATGGAATTGTTTAATTTTGGCAATACACGCGTTCTACATAATAATAAATGATGCATCGTATTATATCATTGCCTGCAAATATGTATAGGCTATCACAAGTGTACAAAAGAAGAGGCATCAAGATTAGCGGCCTTGGTATATAGAGTACGATTCGGCGAGAGCAAACAAGAATTACAAGCGATTCCGTAAGTATTTCTCTAAATATCATTTACAGTTTTGTAAAGGACAGACGTTACAAATAACAAGAGAACTCTCTTTCAATTTCAGACAAATGCTAAGAGAACTAATACCAGGCGATTTGATCAAGATACAGAGTGCTAACGATTGGAAGAGATCGATAATCGCTGCCTATAATCAAGATGCTGGTAAGTAAAAAGTAAAAATGATGAATATTCGTATGCATGAAAAAAAAAATTGAGATTTTTAATCGAGATACTTAAAATTCCAGGCATGAGTCCAGAAGACGCGAAAATTACATTTCTGAAAATCGTATATCGATGGCCGACGTTCGGCTCCGCGTTCTTCGAAGTGAAACAAAGCACGGAACCAAATTATCCCGAATTGTTATTAATTGCCATCAACAAACATGGCGTGAGCCTCATACATCCTCAATCAAAGGTAATCAAGAGGCGTTATTTTCTTTCGCTGAGAAATGTACAATGTAGAGTTACAAATAAGTATTATAAATGTATATGTAGAGAGTTATAAATATTATTTTTTAGTTTCAACTATATTTTATCAAGTTGGACGCTATCAATAATCTACATACATACAATTTATTTATATATACAGGACATACTCATCACTCATCCCTTTACAAGAATCTCAAATTGGTCATCTGGCAATACCTACTTCCATATGACGATAGGAAACCTTGTGCGCGGCTCGAAGCTTTTATGCGAAACTTCATTGGGTTACAAGATGGACGATCTCTTGACCTCCTACATTTCGTTGATGCTCACGAATATGAACAAGCAACGCACGATACGAATCAAATAGCAACAAAAGTAACGTAGGTACAATTGAAATATACATTCCATGGCGCGACTGAATGCGTAAATATATCTTACAAGGTGCTGACGTTAAAATTGCACACGAATTTCTCAATTTCATTGTTTACGAGCACACGATTGTGTATTAATTTAAGTATATTACGTGACGAATTTTGTTGACAGTATCATTTGATGGATTTATTTCTATCTGATTGATGAAACGTAACTTAAATTCACATTTTATGTACTTAATACGTTTGTCTATCATATTGTTCATTTATTTTATATTGTACACGATGTGAAATTTTTGTGGAGATAACTTTAGAATCATTTGATGCTACAATTTATAAATATATATATATATATAATAAAATATAGATATAGTGTATACTTGGTATTATTTCCATATCTACCTGTTAATTTATAATTCATAATAATCTATGCAAGAGAAATAACAATTTATATAATATGTACACAAGAGTTGTAGCCGATAGATTTGTACATGATTTACATATGATTAGGAATTTTTCATCGCTTTGTATAAAATATAATTATTCCCTCTATTGTATCGTAAATATCATTGTATGGTAGATTCTGTTAACTAAAATTCGTATTATCTCCAAGCAATTACCCACGCACTCTACGTACGTGCGTGACACGGGCATAATAGCGACTATGCTTAATTCGTAATTAAGAAAAAAAAGCATTCGCAATAGTTTTGCGAATCTATTGTCGATGGCGAATGTTTAAAATATATTATCCATCCAGTGAATTTATTATTAAGTACATGTGGCATAAGTCAAATTTTGAGAAATTACGAATTCTCGCAAAGATACACTGAATCAAAACTGTACGTAAATACAATAAAATATTCATTGAATTATGAAAAAATAATGAAAATTGGTCCAATGAACTCTCATAATGATTTAGATTACAAAACTTACTAGAATTCATTGCAAGAATGAATATATAATTGTATAAATGAATCCAGTTATTGTATCAATGAATTAACTACATTAAGTCGGACGTTAAGTCGGACATTGATTAACGATCATTCATTGGATCAAAAATGAACAAAATTTTTTCAGTGTACGGTGCAAAATAACGCAATGTATCCGTATAACAAAAAGTTTCTCCAAATTTGCCTTGCTACCTCTACAGAGTATAATTTCGAAATGAACGCTTCGCGCAAAAGTGTAATTACTATTAATTCGTTTTTATAATTGTGAATAAAGACGACCATACTTTCCACGCTCAAAGTACAAGCGTTAATCGTGGGTAAATTCCCATGGAATGTATATATACCAGCGTTCCCCCTTTCCAACACAGATCTCTTCGGGAAGACATTCCCAAGGCGATACTATCTCATTTCCTCTCGAAGATGACAGTGTTTCGATTATCTTTCGTAAAAAAAGAAGGTAAAGGATCCGAGTATGTACATACACATTAATGATTTAAAGCGTCGCGTTTGCTTGGAAGGAATTTTTTTAATCACTCATATATCTATTTACTAAGATTTTTCAATATTTATTAAATGAAAAGTATTAAATTTCAAACAAAACTGAATTAATTCGAAATTCAAAGGATCTGTGAGTAAAAAAGATTCACGCGACTATCGATAATACATATGTTCATCTGTATATGACGCTCGCAAAGAAGTCTCAACATTAGTTTTGGAATCGGGGATTAAATCAGGAACTTAATAACCATGTAATATAAACTTTCTGTTTATTCTAAATGTGTAGGAGCATAAAACTATGCGTCTTCATTGTACTTATCGATATAATTACAATAAAGCACATAAATGTAATCTTTAAAACATTTTTTTCACGAAAAATCCTTAAAAAATGCTCCAAATTATGATACAGAAGATGCTCGATCTATCTAAAAAAAAAACTTCAAATATTTATATGAATACAAGTCTTCGGGTATAAGCGTTCGGGAAACACGCTGTCATCACTATTGTGTCATTCTAACTTTATCGTTCATTAGACGTGAGACAAGTATAATAATGCAATAGTTCTGATAGTGCCCCGAACCCACCCTTCGTGCACAACGTAATTTAAAGACCCATCCACTCGTTTGCGATTTCCGATATCCACATTTTTTTTATAAAGAAAAATACGTAAAAATATGTGCAATACCATATATCTAATGCTAGAGGAATTTGTTTTGTTTTGTCTACATTTTATTTTATTTATGAAAGTTGGATAATCAAAAATTAGTTTTACGCGAGCATCTCTAAAACATCTAACGCAATTGTTACACCGGGATTCACATAATTGTAATCACAATAAGTGCTGTACGTACATTGAGATACTATATACATGTAATACGCGCGCGTACACACACACACACACACACACACACACACACACACACACACACACACACACACACACACACACACACACACATACACTATCTACTGACTCTATCAATCTTTGATCGTTTTCACAATCAGCGCCGATTCACACACGTTTTCGCTCAATGAAAGTATGCATTTATCATGCATCTCCTAATAAATAATGAAGAAACTATGGACATGGCGCGCATATGAATTTACAAATGTACCAAATGTCGAGGCCGTCGTGCGCGGGTTCAAAAATACATCACGTACCTTGTCCCTATCTAACTTTGTACAGGATAGACCATTCACGCGAAGCAACGCTCGGATTTCGATACGAGTTCTCGATCGGTCTTGTAAATCTATCTTTTTTTCTTTTTTTTATTACGAAATGATATTCTGTCGATAAAATAAAACGTACTTAAAAAAATTAGAATTTATGATACGATCGGTAACAATGTAGCAAACGCCCAGTTATAACTTCGAGATCCATTATACCGAATTCCAAGCGTAGCAGCAGCTTCTTTCATAACAAATACAATGTTAAAAGCACAACCATCGTTCGGTGACCGATATGCGGATGTATAGACCAAGACTGTGTTACCTCTATCACTCGTTATTAACGTTATTAATCGTTTGATAGTTTTGTATCTTTCTTAAAGCGCTAGATGAGACGAAGATGAAATTACAAGGAAAATGTTTCCCTTGGAGACAGCATAGAAACGATTAAAACTTTTACCATGTAAATCAAATATTATAATTTCGTTTGCTTTTCCTAAAAATTCTATCATCCGTCATCGTATACTCGCGACTCGGTCTATACACACTAGCCTAAGCCGTTAAACCTATAGGATTGCTATGATAAATTATTATCTCTGTAAATCTGTATCTCAACAACTTGCAAGTCTAGATTCCACGACCTCTAGCGCGTGCAAAATTCGACGCGCCACATCGTCGTCGCATCACGTCGGATGCACTGAGCGATACGCTACGTTTTCGTATTGTCCAAGTTTGTACCGCATCGCGCCGCATCACCATTGATTTCGAGAAATAAATCTTTCGCCAGATACGCGCAATCATCATCGCCGCTCTCATTTGTGTCGTCGTCGTCGTCGTCGTCGTCGTCGTCGTCGTGATTGTCGTCGTGATCGTCGTCGTCGTCGTCGTCATCGCGACCGTAGTCGTTGTGAGACACGACGGTTGGCGTTACACCGTCCGTATCATTAGTATATCGTAAACTTTGGTTGGCATTATGACGATCATCTAGGATACATCAGAGACCCGATTGCGGTGGCTGGCCGTGAGTGTTCCAGGGCACGTCGGCGGGCATCGCGGCAGGTGGTATACTGGCTTGATTGTGCATGGCACGTGGCGCTCGCATAATCTCGTCGGCGGGCGGACAATGCGGACGCGGCCCTGGCTCGGGCGTATACGTAAAAGTTAGACCGGTCGCGTAAATGATGCCATCATTGCGTACGAGAGAAACCGGCACTTGCGTCGGCTGACGTACCCAGAGCCACTCGCCACGGAACAGGGAGATATCCGGCACGACGCAGAGCATGCTCTCTTGACATCTGTACATAGTCTCGGCCTCGACGTCGCCGAACCAGACTTGGAGGTTTGGGGTGAAATTGTCGCCCGTAAGCTCGAGCATCGCCACGTCGCCGCCGCCGTTGAGATGCAGGCTGTGGACGAGTGGTACCGGCGTCACCGGTGATCGTACCGGCCCCATACCCTCAAAGAATTGGTATTCTGCCTTGTCGGTGCTGATGATGGTCCAGCAAGCGCCGTCGTTGATCATCTCCTTGTTCGCTTCCTTTGGGCAAGGCGTAGCCTGAAATTGTATTATACGCTCCTGCGACAGGCACAGATACATATGATCCGTGTCCTTCATATAAAAGGCACACTTGTGCAACTGCGATACAGGATCGTCGGCCTCGAGACTGGCCATTTGTTTGTCTACCTTGCGAATCACCAACCGCGGCAGAGCCATTCCTGTGACCGAGCATACCAGTTTCACGGTGCTGCCGTAGTGCACGTAACCGTCGCGCACTTGAAACTCCTCCGACTCGCTCTCGTTATCGTCCAAGAGATGGATGGTAAACGCACCCCATTGCGTCGAACTCGCGTGAAAATTGCCATTCTCCACGTGAAGATAGCGCGTACTGACCGTCTGCGATCGCAGTCGATTGAAGAGCGCGACCTTGGTGCCACTGGCAATGCACAGATCCGCGTTCTTCAGAGACTGTTTCTTCTTGGACGGCTTCGAGATGACCTTGATACGCTTGCTGTGAAACACGCCTATGTCGTGGCCACTGCCATAAAACATTTTGACAGAGAGCATAAAGTGCTTGCGCTTGTCCGAATCAGAGATGTAAAGGGTCTTTGCCGCGCAGTACTGTTTCCCGTTGTTCAAATCCAGTTGTTGCATGTCCTGATCGGAATTACCAATGCCGATGAAAGCGCATAGCTGAGCGCTCTGCTCGCTCTCGCCTTCGCGCAACATTTGTTCCTGGCGCATCCTCCAACCATCGCCGAACAGATAGATACAGGGTGGTGGGCAGAAGAAACGTTTCTCATTGCCATATGATTTTTGCGCAACCTTGGCATGTAGGATTACAATCACCATGTCGCTACGATCGCGCAGATAACGTTCCATCGCCTCGCGGGTAAGTCGCTGCTCCTGGTGATCGGCCCTGTAGATGCCGGAGCCGAATCGAGGATAAACGGACATGACCGAGGTCGGCGAGGGCGGAGATTGCATACCATGTGCCATCGTTGGCAGTCCAAATTGGTGTGGCATATTTAAATGTCCGGATTCGACTCTCGTGCGAAACGGAATAACAAAATTCTCGCCGTTGGCATCGATTTATATCTTCATCTTTCAAGCGTGCCTTTCCAACTGATCTTTTACCTACGGCGAATTAAATTATCTTAGTGACACATGAATATAAATACAAACAAAATTATAATTATAATATAACATAATTTATATGTACATAGAAATCAGTTGCCAATGCAATTGGTTGTGAGTTTATCGTGATCTCGTAGAAAAAAAGTACAATAATAGCGTGTAGCGTGCTATGTAGATAAAGAATCAGAGAGGATTAAAATTAGTATGGAAAAACAAGCGAAATTAATCGAAATCGTGTAAGAAATGTAACTCGGTCAAAATAGCGATTGCAGGGAGTGAACGAAGAGTGGTAGCACTTTAAATTAAAAATAGTGCGGACAGAATAGCACACTTGATTAATCATGTCTCTTTACATGTGGGGTGTGTATGTGTGTGTGTGTGTGTGTCTACATATATATATAAATATATAACAATAAGTGCAGCGCGCGCGGGTGCGTCTTATAAAGACGTGTAAAAACTATATGTAGAAATAGACGATATCGTGACTTCAAATGCGTGATAATGCATTCATGCAGTAGCGTCACCGTTAGTCATTCGCGCGATTAAGCATATACCAAACTGCATACAAATGTCCGCTCGTTTGAAGCTTTAGCGTGAGAAAGATTTTTGCTTTTTACTGGGGACAAGACGTAATTAACTCGAGATATCTTTCTTCAAACGAGCTATCAAGAATTGCTGGTCTTGGCACAGGAAAGAGGAAACAACATATACAGACGTACACACACGCACGCCGTGAGAACCAAGCCGGACTCATTTTTCCTGCATGAATTAAAAGCGCTTCTATTCATTGTGACTATACAGGTAGAGTTTATATGTTTATACACTGGGAAAAAACGTACACATTACAGTTAATAGCATAATTTTTACCTCGTTATACAAAAGTTACATTAATTACACGAAATCGACGCTACGAATCAAGTATACGAGTGTAAAAAAAATTTTACAATTTTATTAATCACCTACCTTATGGATTATTATACTACTTCTTTTTTAAGCCCCTTCCTTTCTGTTCTTTTTAAAAATAAACTTTCGATATAATAAAAATGCTCTCTGTACATACATTTGCTTTCTACAAGTTTGCCATTTCAATGGAAAAAACCATCATATACATGTTTATATATATATTCTTCTCTTTGAGAAGCACTTGTGCCCGTTTCCACCAGTGTAGATTAACTTTTTAATCTCAATTCAATTGACTCTTCAATTCTTTTTAATTCGTAGAATTCTTCTACAAATTAGAACAAGTAAAATGAAGAGTCAGTTGTGAATCAAAATTAATCAAAGTTAATTTATATTAAACTATTATAATCGTTTACGTCTCCTTCTAGATGAATTCAGTCATATGGACTTCCTACATCGGATTATGTCTCCACAGTAACGCAACTCTAACCTGCAGGAGCTAATAATCATTTTTGGCTTTGACCAACAAAAATAATTTCTCATTGAGAACATGGATCAGAATTTAATTGTACGATACAGTGATATTGTTGGTTGATATGATATCGTATACATATTGGTATATAGTTTCTCACCAAATTATATAATAATTGTTATAATCTGTTCTTGTTGCTATATCCACTTGTCAATATCTCGCTAATGCTATAATGATCTGTAGTGTGCACAATATACAATGTTGAACAACGACAGAAAGTAATACAGTAGCAAAAGTTGATAAATTAGTATTGCAAATTCAACGACAGCCATGATCATGCCAGAGTGCGAAAGAGAAGAGTATCTGTCAAGTACCATCTCGCTTAATTAAGGTAATCATAATAAAAGTCATAGAATTTGCCTAATAACGTAATCCAAATCTACAATCATGAATGTCTGATGATTAAATACTAAAAGAATAGAAATGCGCAAATACATTATTCAGCAAGAAAAATACCCGGCAAATTGAATCCAATGTTACATTGCACGATATAAATAGTAGAGTATAAAATATACCTTGACTCACCATTGCAATCTCTCATGTTACGTTTCCTTACTCTTATTTAAATATATCGGACTAGTTATAATGTGCACTGCCAAAATGCACACAACGAAAAACGTGGTACCGTGTTGTATTCATGCACAGACTGCGTGTAGGCTCTCTCGCGTGCAAAAAGTGGAAGAAAAGTCTAAATTATGAAAATGGAGCGAAAATGAAAAATGTGAAGCAAGAAGCACTTTTCAGTGGTTGCCGAAGGAAAGGGAAAATAAGAGGTCTCCTGGACTGGACTGGACTGGATTCCGATCGCGAGAAAGAGAACACAAGGTCCGTTCCCTCGGCTCGGCGCTGTCGCGGCTGAAGGGTTATGAAAGCAGGATCGATTGATGGCCGCGAGGGAACGCGGTCGAGTAGTGACATGTGCGAGGAAGCCAGGCATTTTGTTTATTTACCTTTCGACGCGAGCGAGGTTACGATTTGGCAAACAGGTTAAATTTTGTTCCGGCCCGACTTATTTCTTCATTCTTGGCCGGGCGTCGAGAATAATAACCGCGTACCCGCGTGCATCCTCCGCGCTATCGATCATCCGGAGCGGCAAAGAGCGCGACTTGGGCTGCCAAGTCCCGGCGATTTGCTGTTTGCGGCGATCGTTCACCACTGTTCACCACAGCGCGGCGAATCCTTCCGCGTTCTCTACTTCTCTCTCTCTCTCTTTCTCCTCCTCCTCCCCCTCCCACCCTAATCCATTCAAAAAACACCTGTTCACTTTCCGAATTTTCCGAACAGTTGTACCAACCGCGGTTGACAAAACACGGCAACAGTCTGTCGTCTGTGGCAGCGTGGCGCGATGCGCGCGGTACATACGCGCGTAACTTGAATTACATTCGAATCGGAGGATACCGCGTGTCTTCCTTTCGTCTTCCACAATTATGCAAAATAATCTCTGTGAGGCGAATGAAATCGGCCAACACTCGGCGACCACCCTTAACGCGCGACTGCAGACGGATAACTAACTTGGAAGTGTCCGGAGGCCAACAACGTCAGCAACGTCAGAAGAGGTATTGCCATTGCCGTATCGCGCGCCTAAGTGGCTGTACCATGAACGTAGCGAGCAAAGGAGAGGGGAGCTCCGTGATCTCTCGCTCTCTCTCTCTCTCTCTCTCTCTCTCTCTCTCTCTCTCGACAAATTGAAAACAAATACCGCGATGCAGTGGTGCAGGGCGCAGACGACTGTGGCGAGACCTCGCGTTCTCGGAGTAGTCGGAGTTGTCGGACGATACGCGGCAATGTTCACTCCGATGCGATGTATGAAATTTGCGCGCGAACGTCGTTGACGTTTGAAATTTCAACCGCGCAACAATTTTGAAAGATCTTACTTTGTACCTTGCGCGACGAATTCAAATCAACGTCTTTTACTCACGCGAACGCGAATCGAGTTATATAATATTAAATCGGCGAGCCATCGGTCAGATGTGAATAAAATGTGAACAAAATTCATAATTTTAATTGTGCGAGCCCTACATACTTGTCTAACTAATAATGAGATTGATTGCTTAGTATATCCCTGACATCGCTTTCTAGATCACAGCCCCGTTCTGCGATATATAATCGCTCGATTTGATGATGTACACACACACACTCTCTCTCTCTTTCTCAGACACACACTCTCTCTCCTTAATCACGATGACGCTCTCTTTTTTTAAATCGCCTACGATACTTTGACGATAACACACGTGACGGCAGCGACGCAGATACGTCACTGATGCTGCAGATTCTATTGTTTGTACAATGGCCCGGTCGACCCGAGCGCCTCCAGCTCCCTCACCCTGCCTCCCTCCACCTGACGCGCGCCGCTTCTCTCCCGTCGTTTCCATCCATTCCCCTCTTCTCCCCACGTAGCGGCG